ACTGTACCAGGCAGATAGCGTCATGTGAGCGAGTGGTTTGCTGATGTCAATGTTGTGAACAGAGTGCCCCATGGTGGCAGTGGGGTTATGGTATGGGCATACATAAGCTACAGACAAGGAAAACAATTGCATTTTATTGATGGCAATTTGAATGCACAGAGATACTTTGAAGAGATCCTGAGGCTCAATGTCGTGCAATTCATCCATAGCCATCACCTCATGTTTCAGCATGAGTGGCGCAGTGGTCTAAGGCACTGCATCGCAGTGCTAGCTGTGCCACTAGAGATCCTGGTTCGAATCCAGGCTCTGTCGTAGACCGGGAGACCCATGGGGGCGGCGCACAATTGGCCAAGCGTCGTCCAGGGTAGGGGAGGGAATGGCCGGCAGGGATGTAGCTCAGTTGGTAGAGCATGGTGTTTGCAACGCCAGGGTTGTGGGTTCGTTTCCCACGGGGAGTATGAAAAATACAAATAAATGATGTATGCACTCACTAACTGTAAGTTACTCTGGATAAGAGCGTCGGCTAAATGACTAAAATGTAAATGTGATAATGCACGGCCTCATGTTGCAAGGATCTGTACACAATTCCTGGAAGCTGAAAATGTCCAAGTTCTTCCATGGCCTGCTTACTCACCCATTGAGCCTGTTTGGGATGCTCTGGATCGACGTGTACGACAGCGTGTTCCAGTTCCCGCCAATATCCAGCAACTTCGCACAGCCATTGAAGAGGAGTGGGACAACATTCCACAGGGCACAATCAACAGCCTGATCAACTCTATGTGAAGGAGATGTGTAGAGCTGCATGAGGCAAATGGTAGTCACACCAGATACTGACTGGTTTTCTGATCCACACCCCTACCTTTTTTTAATGTATCTGTGACCAACAGATGCATATCTGTATTCCCAGTCATGTGAAATCCATAGATTAGGGCCTAATGAAAATATTTCAATTGACTGATTTCCTTATTTGAACTGTAACTCAGTCAAATCTTTGAAATTGTTGCATGTCCCGTTTATATTTTTGTTCAGTGTAGGTATCTCTTTATTTAGGTTGATGGCATGATGTTGAAACCATGACATTGATTCAAACATACCATTTTACTAACAACATTGAAACAAGGTCAAATAAAATATGCCTAATCAAATATGAAATTCAACATAATTTCAACCACCCAATACAAAACATTAGGAACAACTTCCTAATATTGAGTTGCACACCCTTTTGCCTTCAGAACAGCCTAAATGTGTTGGCGCATTGATTCTACAAGGTGTCGAAAGCGTTCCACAGGGATGCTGGCCCATGTTGACGCCAATGCTTCCCACAGTTGTGTCAAGTTGGCTGGTAGTGGATCTCTACTCCGAATAGCTCGTTCCATCTCATCCCACAGACACTCAATTGCATTGAGATCTGGTGACTGGGCAGGCCACTGCACTAAGCTGAATTCACTGGATACACTGCTGCCATGAAGGGATGCACCTGATTGGCAATGATGTTCAGATATCCTGTGGCATTCAAACATTGCTCCACTTTTATCAAGGGGCCCAATGTATGCCATGAAAATACAGCCCACACCATCACACCACCACCACCAGCCTGCAATGTTGATATGCGGCATGATGGATGAATGTACTCATGTGGTTTTCTCCATACCCTAGTCCTCCCATCAGTGTGAAACAGCAGGAACCGGGATTCATCAGACCAGGCAATGTTTTTCCAATTCTCCAGTGTCAGGTGTTTTCATACCTTAGCCCACTGCAACCGCAGTTTCTTGTTTTTTGCTGAAAGAAGTAGAAGTCTGTAAGGTCGTCGGTTGCCATACCCCATTCGTGTCAAGGTACGACGAGTTGTGCATTATTTTATGGGTCTTTGGGCACCAATGTTGTACTGGACTCCAAGTTGACTAACTGAAGCTCGTCTTTTGCTCTGAAAAATGTGTGTCAGCCTCCTTTGTCCTCTTTCATCAATGACCTGTTTTCGACGACTGGCCTGCCGTTGGCTGGATGTCCGTTGGGTGGTGTATCATTCTTGATACACATGGGAAACTGTTGAGCGTGAAAAACCCAGCAGCGTTGCAGTTCTTGACACACTCAAACAGGTGCGCCTGGCACCTACTACCATACCCCCTTCAAAGGCACTTCAATATTTTGTCTTTCCCATTCACCCTCTGAATGGCACACATACACAATCCATGTCTCAATTGTCTCAAGGCTTAAAAATCCATCTTTAACCTGTCTCCTCCCCTTCATCTACACTGATTGAAGTGAATTTAACAGGTGACATCAATAAGGGATCATAGCTTCACCTAGATTCACCTGGTTGTCTATGTCATGGAAAGAGCAGGTGTTCCTAATGTTTTGTACACTATTAAATATAGGATGAAAACAGATGTTGATTAAACAGTGAGAATAAGCAAAAATGTCAACATATAAAATATGCTGAAAATGTGGCGTGGATCTGATGTTGCATGTTCAGCGTATTAACAACACCACATGAAATGAATTGTGTTGCAATTTCCATGTAGATTCTATGTGAGATTTTTAACCATTCTACGTGGAATTTTCAAAGCAATTTGAACGTATAAATAGTTTTGATGATTACGTTGAAATTAGATTGATGTAACAACCTGTTAGTCAGGTTAAGTAATTGTATTTAAGTTGAAGTTTTACCCTAATTTCAGTGGGAACCTAGAACTCTTCTTACTAGGCTAATGAATCCACTAGGCCACATATCTACATCCTGATTTAAACAGGTAGGAGCTTCATTTTAGAGAGGGACCTTTCCAAGAACTTAAGTTGGTTTGTATTTGTTCCAAATGTGTAATTTAGCTGGGGGAGTGTGTGTGTGTGTTTGTGTGTTCATGTGTGTATTTAACATTCCAGACAGCATAGCAATGGTGAGAGACATATCCATGGCAATGGTACCTAATTGTAGCACTTCTCCTCTTTCCTTCCCACTCCCTTTCTCCTTCTACTTGAAACTTTGTGCAATAACACTTCTTCCCACAATCTTACATTTTTGAAGGGTTAATCATGAACTAACTGTTTATGAAAATACACTTGATATAGGCCTGAATAATGGTCGAAATTGCACAGGTTCTATAGTTATTTTAGATTTAATGTAGTTGGATGAGAACATACCGCCCTCTACTGGAATAGAGAGTCGAGAGAGAACGCAATGAAAGCAGTTGGACATGCATGCATTATAATATTGAAGGCAATGCAATTATATTCCAAGTAATAACTTTACAAAATTCCGTAGTTATTGTATTGGACACGAATATCCACTACACAAATCCTAGAAATGTACGCACGTGGTCTTTGAATAAACCACAGAAACACCGTGGTTGTTACAAAAATCTTTGGAGGATGCGGGCATCGATCCCGCTACCTCTCGCATGCTAAGCGAGCGCTCTACCATTTGAGCTAATCCCCCGGTTGACACGTAGAGAAGATATAGAGTACTAGACTCAGTTAGCTGCAAATGCTTACACTACTGGTACGTTTAGTTATTTATAACCACGTTTCCAAACAGTTTTCATGCGAGTACAGTCATACCATATTTAAAAAACTGCAATGGAAACAGGAAGTTTCCGTACAATTTTTTTAATGCCGACAGATCATTTTTTCGTTCGACATGGTGTGATCTTTTTGTGTCGGTAAAATTTCTGCAACATTTCTGGGATATTTTATTTCAGCTCATGAAACATAGGACCAACACTTTACATGTTGCTTTTATATTTTTGTTCAGTATAAATTAACTTTGAGTCATGTGGTGTGTCTCCCACTATGACTCGTGAAACAATGCAGTTTATTAGGCTACAAATATCGTATGATGAACTTCACAGGGTGGTGAAAGTGAACGTGATCTTGATGCTGCTTTCCACTACATATCTAGGGTCTTATTCTAGTGACATGATGATCGATGCTTGGCTGCCCATTGAAAAATAAAAACATTCTTGCTATCCATAATAATTGCATCATGTAGATTAACCTACCCACACAGCATCTGCAAGCTGTTGGCTAGAGTGCATGGGCCAAGACCATAGTAGGCACATTTGCTATTTAACGCAACAGTTTTTGTGAGTTGAAAATGCAATGGAAACACATTTAACTTTTGATTTTTATTCAGTACATAAAAACTTGTGTGCACTATGTCATCACGCAGTGATTTCTATCCACAACAATTCCATTTGGTGAAAACACCCCACTGGTGGGAAAATGTGCATATTTTCTTTATGCGTTTTTTTGAAGATTTGCAGGAAAATCTGTTGCCAATTGTTTGGAACCCTAGCTACTGTAATTATCAATTTTCTTTCAAGCGAAACATCTAATATTAGCAACAACAACAAAAATGTGCATTCTACCAGGTGTGTTGTAGCGAAAACAACGGTACCACAGCATCCTGTGACTCCAATTACTTCGATATGATGGCTATTCTATAAATATTTGTGCAAAAAAGTGTTTCCATGCGACATTTGTCACATAATCTACTTCACCAACAACAAAAAGTTGTTCTGGTGAAGGTGTTCTGTGTTGTTAACATTTGCTCGACATTTAATTGAAACTTTTACAATTTCCTTGTCGTTTTTGGAAAGGGACACCCGATTAGACAACAATCACTCATTAAAAGACAACCATTTTTTCTCATTGTTCTATCTGTGGGGATGACCCTGGCTGTTTCATGTGACCTTACTTAGCCAATAATAAAGTAACAACAAACCTGCCTGCAATACACCTTTTTGGGTTGTAGTCCGCCATAAAACCCACAGAAGAAGAAGAACAAACCCGCCTAGTCCAAGGTTCAGCTGACACATGACTGATACATACATACTGATTGAAATACAGCTCCTAGAATAGTTTATTTGCTTTTCACTCATAATCCAGTTATTTAATAACCATATGTATGGTGATTCAAACGCTGTCTCAAACTTAGATCTCACGTAAGATTCGGATGGTTGAAGTTTCCAAAGTGCTGCTGCTGGATTTTGGACTCTGAATTCATGATTTGTCTACTCTACCCGTCCACTCCATTCATGGCTAGTCCAGTCCGGAGTGTGTCAGAGTTGGTTGCCGAGGCTCGGTGTGTATTTGAGCAGAGCTTCGGGGGAGATGGTCCGGAGGTGGCTGTGTGTGCCCCGGCAGGGTCAACCTGATACAACCAGGGATATGTCCTACCAATGGTAATGAATGTCATGCTTGTGATGATCAAAGGTTGTTTGCGATTGACAAGAGTGTCTGTTGTATAAACCAGTCCACATCACAAGAAACACTGGTGGGTGCACAGACCCATTAAAGCACTGCTGCTTTGACAGATGTGAAACATGCTTATTAATTATATCCTTGTGCCAGGCTCTGCCTCTAGTCACGGTCGTGGTTGGCAGTATTACTTCTGGCCAGAGTGTCTCCATCGTAACTGCTGCTAAAGATGTGGAGGAGCCCAGGAGAGTGGACTTTGACCTTCCCAATTACGTGAAAGGAGTAGTGCAGCACTACAGATGTATGAGCAACACCTTGTGTATCACCTGATCATGATGAGTCCTGTTGAAATGTAATAGTGACACACCATATATCATCATCGAGATCCCCTCTCTGTCTGTCTGTCTGTCTGTCTGTCTGTCTGTCTGTCTGTCTCTCTTTCTCCATCCATCCATCCTTCCATCCATCCCGGCAGCTCCTCCAGTCCCAGGGTTAGGGCAGTGAGTGTCCCTCTAGGAGGAGGTCTGTCCAGCTCAACCTCTCTAGAGGTGGCCATGTACACATTCCTACAGCAGCTCAAACCAGGTGAGTGGATTTGAGTAACATCAAATAGTGCCTATGAGTGAAGCTAAACATTTGCACAACATGTCATAATTTCATTCTACTGCCCTCCTCAGACAAGGTGGCCAAGGTGGTGGCATGCCAGCAGGCAGAACACACCCACGCTGGTGTGCCCTGAGGCATTATGGACCAGTTTGTCTCTGTGCTGGGCAGCGAGGCTCACTCTCTACTCATAGACTGCAGGTAACAGGCCTGCTGATAGGGCAAAAATATTTTCGGTATCTCAGATTCTTCTGGCAATTTTCACATAGAAACTTCATTGGGAGGAAATGTGTTTGACATGCTTTTTACGTTTGTATCACAAGCCATTTTTTGAGAAAATCATGATGAAAGTGGCCCTTTTAGCCACTTTTTAGACCTATTCATGACTCCTGTAAGACCTTTTGATCCATGAACCATACATAATACAGACAACACCTTGGTGTCATTATACTCCTTATAGTGTGCTCTAACATATGAAGTATGTCTAGATTCTGAAATACACATATTAATGTCTCAAAAGTACCCTTTTTGATTTAAGACATTTTGTTTGGAACAATATACTCTACAAGTACATAACATTTCCAGAGTAGGCTCTCTGCTAATTCTGAAGTTCTGAGCAATTTTATGACCACCACCAACACAGTGAATGGGAAATGGATTCAAAGGGAATTCCCTCTGCTGGTGATTTGCTGAATGTGCAATCCTAAAGGAGGGCCGTGATTGGTTAATGAACTGTAACATCAATGTATGTATAAAATGGGTCATATCATTAAAAGTACCAGAGAGCCCACTTTGACATTCCAAAACATGTCTACAAATAAGCAAAATCAAAAAGGGTACATTTCAGATGTTTTTTATGTTGAATAAATGAATGTGAAAATGTGTATTTCATCTAGACATACTCCATATTTAAGAGCACACTATAAGGAGTGTACTGACACCAAGACATCTGTATCATGTATGGCTCACGGATCATAGGGTCTTACAGATTAGAAACCCTAATTGGTCTACACGGACAAGTTCTTGCCTGGTTTAGATCTTATCTGTCGGAAAGATATCAGTTCATCTCTGTGGATGGTTTGTCCTCTGACAATTCAATTGTACGTTTTGGCGTTCCTCAAGGTTCCGTTTTAGGACCACTATTGTTTTCACTATATATTCTACCTCTTGGTGATGTCATTCGGAAACACAATGTCAACTTTCACTGCTATGTAGATGACACACAGCTGTACATTTCAATGAAAGATGGTGAAAAAATGTGATCATATTACTCCAGTGCTAGCCTTTTTACATTGGCTTCCTTTTAAGGCTAGGGCTGATTTCAAGGTTTTACTGCTACAAAGCATTACATGGGCTTGCTCCTACCTATCTCTCTGATTACGTCCCGCCATAAATAACTACACGTACGCTACGGTCACAAGACGCAGGCCTCCTTATTGTCCCTAGAATTTCTAAGCAAACAGCTGGAGCCGGGGCTTTCTCCTACAGAGCTTTCTCCTAGTGCTCTTCCATTTCGTCCCTAGGAGGGGTGCGTCACTTGAGTGGGTTGAGTCACAGACGTGATCTTCCTGTCTGGGTTTGCGCCCCCTCGGGCTTGTGCGGTGGAGGAGATCTTTGTGGGCTATACTCAGCCTTGTCTCAGGGTAGTAAGTTGGTGGTCTGTTGATATCCCTCTAGTGGTGTGGGGGCTGTGCTTTGGCAAAGTGGGTGGGGTTATATCCTGCCTGGTTGGCCCTGTCCGGGGGTATCGTCGGACGGGGCCACAGTGTCCCCCGACCCACCCCTGTCTCAGCCTTCAGTATCTATGCTGCAATAGTCAATGTGCCGGGGGGCTAGGGTCAGTCTGTTATATCTGGTGTAATTCTCCCGTCTTAATAATAATAATAATAATAATATGCCATTTAGCAGACGCTTTTATCCAAAGCGACTTAGAGTCATGCGTGCATACATTTTTGTGGATGGGTGGTCCCGGGGATTGAACCCACTACCTTTGCGTTACAAGCGCCGTGCTCTACCAGCTGAGCTACAGAGGACCACAGAATCTGGTGTCTTGTGTGAATTTAAGTATGCCTCTAATTCTCTCTCTCTCCCTCCCTCCTTCCCCTCCCGGAGGACCTGAGCCCTAGGATCATGCCTCAGGACTACCTGGCCTGATGACTCCTGGCTGTCCCCAGTCCACCTGGTCGTGTTGCTGCTCCAGTTTCAACTGTTCTGCCTGCGGCTAGGGAACCCTGACCTATTCACCGGACGTGCTACCTTGTCCCGGACCTGCTGTTTTCCACTCTCTCTCTCTTTCTCTCTACCGCACCTGCTGTCTCGACCTCTGAATGCTCGGCTATGAAAAGCCAACTGACATTTACTCCTGAGGTACTGACCTGTTGCACCCTTTACAACCACTGTGATTATTATTTGACCCTGCTGGTCATCTATGAACGTTTGAACATCTTGAAGAACAATCTGGCCTTAAATGGCCATGTACTCTTATAATCTCCACCCAGCACAGCCAGAAGAGGACTAGCCACCCCTCGGAGCCAGGTTCCTCTTTAGGTTTCTTCCTAGGTTCCTGCCTTTCTAGGGAGTTTTTCCTAGCCACCGTGCTTATATATCTGCATTGGTTGCTGTTTGGGGTTTTAGGCTGGGTTTCTGTATAGCACTTTGTGACATCTGCTAATGTAAAAAGGGCTTTATAAATACATTTGATTGATGTATAGGCCTAACAAGTGCCTAAAATTATGTGAGAATTGCCAGAACAATCTGAGATAACAAAAATATTTTCTGCCTGGTATGGAATCGCCCTATAGGCCAGTGGTTCCCAAACTGTGGGGGGCGCGGGATGTTCCCCAATGCTGGAAGGGGGGCCTGAGTGAAAAAGTTGGGAACCCCTGCTATAGGCATATGCTAAAGGATCATGGCTAATGCTAAAGTAAAGCTAACACTTAACTGAAAGTGTTGTTTATTACTGTGTTATGAATGTATTATATACTCTTGTTGTTTCCTCAGATCTCTGGAGGCAACTCCTGTCCCTCTGTCTGACCCAGGCCTGGTCATCCTCATCAGTAACTCGAACGTCAAGCATTCTCTGACGGGCAGCGAGTACCCTGGCAGACGACGACAGTGCGAGGAGGCAGCCGCCATCTTGGGAAAGGCCGGCTTGAGAGAGGCCAGCTTGAGAGATGCCACACTGAAGGACCTGGAGGGTGAGAATGAGAGGATATTCTATTCAGTTCAATTCTATTCTTATACATTCAAGCATTGTGTTATTATGTTTTGCAATTTAAAAAAATTGTTCCAGATGCTAAGCGCCGATTGGACGATGGCACCTATCGAATGGCTCGTTATGTGATTGAGGAGATAGAGCGTACGGCCCAGGCAGCAGAGGCCCTGAAGAAAGGGGCCTACAAAGAGTTTGGCAAACTCATGTTGGAAAGCCACAACTCACTCAGGTGAATAGAGAACACCATCAAATAACTCCTCAACGCAGTAAATGCATTGAGGGCAGAATCCTGTTTTATCACACATGAAAAATATGATAGAAATGTAAAGTATCCATCCATAATGTGTTCCCTAATGTCAGGGACCTATATGAGGTGAGCTATAAGGAGCTGGATGAGCTGGTGTCTGCAGCCGTGGATGTGGAGGGTGTGTTCCGCAGGATGACAGGGGGAGGATTTGGAGGCTGTACTGTTACACTACTGCAGGCTGGAGCCATAGACAGGACCATAAAGCACATACAGGTGAGGAGGAATACACACACACACACACACACACACACTGTGTGAAGGGAACTTCGGGACTAGCTTGCACAAACTGGTCACTGTGGGTAAAAGAGCTTTTAGAATCTCTGCTGTCACTTTAAGACAAACTGCTTAGTCCCCCGTGTCTTGCCCGAACAGCTTCCAGAGAGTGTGTATGTGTGTGTGTGTGTGTGTGTGTTTGTGCACGCGCCCCTGTCTGTGTGTGTGTGTGTGTGTGTGTGTGTGTGTGTGTGTGTGTGTGTGTGTGTGTGTGTGTGTGTGTGTGTGAGTGAGACAGTAGGGGTTACGGCAGGAGAATAAAAGCTAACAGCGCCCCTTTATTAACATTCCAGTCCTTCTCCCCCGCCTCACTGTCCTTCTCTCCCGTCTCTCTCACTGCGAACTGCTCAGACACAAATTGTCTTATGCAACTAACCAGGCCTCAGCTCACCAACAGGAATCCTAAACAGCATAGGACCATGAAGGAGAGAAACAAAACTACAGATCGATAAATCCACCTGAACAGAGCACCGGCTTTTTACAGATCCAGCTTCCATACACACTGAGCCAATCTTTACTGATCTTTTTGTTATTTCATCCTTTTGGGGTCTTTTTGTGACTTGCTAGTATCCCGGTTACAACTTCGCCCTGCCACCTCTGAAAGGAAAGTCTATTCAGGCTACAAAAGACAATTGAAACTTGAATTCCCTAGAAAGAGAAGTGTTATAACAAGAGCTCTACCATTCCAATCCGGAGTGTTCTAATCTAGTGTTCTAGCCTGAGCAGAGGTTGTTTCAGTGCCTGAGGATGCTGAACCTAAACTCCTCGGACAGCAACACTAACAGCAACTGTAGCTCCCTGTTGGACCCCGTGTCTCTCAACGTTGGCGGTGAGATCTACACTACGACCCTGGACACTCTGACGCGCTACCGAGACTCCATGCTGGGCGCCATGTTCACCGGACAGATCTCCACGCTTAGGGACGAACGCGGAAACGTTTTCATCGACCGCGACGGGAAGGTTTTCCGCTATATCCTGAACTTCCTGCGTTCCAGCTCCCTGGACCTGCCGGAGGGGTTCTCTGAGATGAGACTGCTGAGGAGGGAAGCAGATTTCTTCCAGATACGCCCCCTACTGGATGAGATACAGCGGCACATTGAGACTGGAGCGCTCAGCCTGAGAGATGCACCCAGAAGAGCCATGCTGCTGGTGGATGTGGACTGCCAGGTGTGTGTGTTTATTTTGTGTGTGTTGTAGTGTAAGCATGTGTGTGTGTGCATGTGGGTTTGTTGTGGAATGTGGATGTTCTTTCATACAAGTGTATCATTAGCACTGCAGCATCAGCTTGTTTGTCTCATTCCAGGTGCACATGCTACACTTCAATCTACGGCGTGCTCCAGAGAACTACGAACTCCGCACATGCTCAGTGCGCATCCTCACCGCCAAAATCTTCTGTACCTGGCGTGCCTTCCTGGTTCTCCTCTGTGAGCGTTTCTCCTACCGCACCACCCAGGGTCCTACCTCCCCCCTCCCCAGTGACCAGCGCCACAACCGTCTCAAATTAGAGTGGGTTCCCCAGCCAGACGAACTTCCCCAGGACCAGTATGAGAAACAGCGGTACAGAGGACTCGTCGTCTCAGACTCTTGGGCCACACAGACCCACTTTGGTGACCTCTGTGATGTCATCATCCCGCGCCGCAGCCCCTGTGAGGTCAAAGACATGCACAGGTTTTTGGAGGAGCTGCTGACGGTGTCTCTGGCAGAGGGTTTTAGGGTTGACTCAGTGACCCCTGACTCCATGGACGTTTTGAACTGCCGTACTCTGCAGCTTGTACGGTAGTGATGTAGCTCATTCCAGCTCACAACTGAACCACCAGTTATGGACTTACTCAGACTAAAATAACAAAGGACACCCTACAATGTTTACAACCTACTGCACATGACTGCTTATGGATGGTCAATAACTAGCAGACTTTACTAACACTGTAAAGTTCAAAGGTCGCTCTATGATGTTTACAATCCTCTCTTTGGTGTGAAGCTGAGACTGATCCTGCCATCTGAACCCTCTAACGAACTCTAACCTTGGTAGCCCTTGCAGTGGAGCAGACTGTTCCAGACATGTTGTAGTCTAAACTGTAGGGTAGGCCTACATCTGGTTTTACAGAATAGACCCTGTCCCCAACAATAAGGAATGGTTGTCAGTTCATCCTGTTGATGATCAGTGCAATTCTTAAAGAGGCAGAGAGAGACGGAGACTGGGAGTGTGATAGACTGAGTATCTGTGAGAGAGTGTGCTGCACTGGTAGGAGGGGTGATCCGAATATTCCAAAGAGCAGGTACATTTGCTGGTATTGTTTTGTAAAATAGTGTTAGAGATAACTGTGTAACAAACTGACCAGTCTGTAGAGTTGTTTACAGCACATCAAGTACACTTTAATAAACACTATTAAATGAAAGGTATTACTCCCTGAACCCCTATCAGTCAGACTGGTGCAAGTTCCTTTCTGGTAGGCGGAAGGGGAATAAGATGTGTAATTTTTGAATGGAGGAAGGAAGGAAGGAGGGAAAAGATGAGTATGGGAGAATATGGGAATATGGAGGACTGTAGTGCCCAAAAACAGGTTTTAGCATGGGCAGCACCATTGAGGACTTTCACCATTTTTAAGTAGTCAACTGGGTGGGACTTCTTATGGGTTAAGGAAAGATCACATGATTCCATCTGGGTCATCAGGAGGGATCAGCCAATTAATTATAATTGTGAGAAAACGTTCCATAACTGCAGGTGGCAGTAAATCGCCAACCTTGGCTTTATACCTGTTCAAACAACACACTCTAGGTGGCAGTGTGCACCCTTTCAGTTTGTTTGCCAACTCATAGAAGTAGTAGAAGAAGAAAATGGACTACTTCAAAATGGAGATGGCCTCAATGGTGCTGCCCATGCTCTCACAGATGCAATAATGGGTCAGATACAATGATGCAATGTCTATCTAAGTATATGAAGAGGAAAGATGCCCGGTTGGAAAACAACCTCTAGCCCCTTCCTCCTACCTCCATCTACTCAGCTCGCAATGCATCTGTAACTTGCAGATCCAAAGGAAACAGTTACAGTATGTGCAAGGATTATGGTGTTGGCTTTACTTTTATCCTTCCAATACTGTTTTCAGTGTTTGGAATGAACTCAAAAGCAAATTAATGAATTCACTAGCTGTATATTTATCTCTACAGGAGCGATACAGTGGATCCCCAACTTTCTACATCACAACTCCCTCACAAGGAGCTCAGGTCCTGAGTTTATGAAGAACAAACACTGTACATTTTTCCATTATGTACAACTTGACCACAAGAAAAGCACATTCCTATTGATTTGCAGGATCTTTTGTTTGCGGATGTAGCAATGTTTAATCAACCCGATAGGGGTGAAATGAGCAGGTAAAGCAATCTTTTGTAAGACTTTTCTTCAGCGTGCCTTAAACTATCATGATTCTAATACAGGTAATAATTGCCAAGCACTAAATCAAGTGAAGTATAATCTCTTGTGGTTGCATCTCAAAGACTGTTATGTTGTATTATAAAATTACTCAGAAAAATGAGATTATTGTTTACACTATAAATAATTCTGCAAAAATAAACAGAATGAGTTTGATACCTTATGCTTCATGCGACATCTGTTCACAATGCAACATTACTTTCTGAAAATGTATTAGGGGAAATTCCAAAGTTTACTTCATATTAATAAACATCTGACTCTTTACATTTGGAGCCAAACCTATTTATATTGTCATGCCCTACTCCCCTGCTGATTCGTATTGCGTGTATTGCGGAAGGGTTTGAAGGGAGGAGTCTCAGCGGAAGCTAGCCAGTCAAGTTGCGCTTTGCGAGTCTGGGGCATCCGGAAACATCACCTCGAGGCTGCCGACGGGGCATACGAAAGATAGGTGGGCTAGCTAGCTACCAAACAAACCAACACAGGATCTGCATTTAAATACTTAAAGACAAGCAGACGACGTGCTTTGGATTCTGATTTGATATTAGTTTGGGAAGTTGAGACGTGGCAAACTGGACGCCGACCAAGCTTTGTGAATTAGCGAGTGAAAGCATATTGGACACAGCTGGAGCAACGGCCGTTGTGAGTCAGGTGAGTTTCGAAGGGCCCGAGCAAGAGAATAGTGTCGCGTCTACAGGTGTTGTAGCCTGTCGTTGGTTAACCAGCTAAAACACTTAACGTTACTGCTGACGTTTAAGTCAACTGGATAACACGGAGTAAAGCTAGCTGGTTAACGTTGCCCTGTTGATGTGCTAGTTAACGTTAGCCTCGAGAGATTAGTTACTGTAACTTGACTGGCAAGCTAGCTAGCTTGGCGGTGTTGTTGGTGAACGGCTGCGAAGCCATGATTCATTCCATTCGACCAGGAATTAAAGGGTCTATAAACTTTAGACACAGATGAAATCATCATATTTTCTTTTAGATACACGGGACTGAAATAGAAGTAGCTATTAATGTTAACTAGTTAACTTGCTTGCTGCACAAGTTGGTGAAATAGCTAGCTACCTAACGTTAGTTAACTCATAACGCGGACAAACTCACTATTAGTCGCCATATCTGTGTCTACTAGCTAGCTAACTAAATAATGTTCCCTTTTCAGTGCCATCAACATCACGAACCATTCACCACGTTTTTAGTCAGCTGAGCTAGTTAGCTATTGCATAATGTTGAAACGGGAAAACTTTGGCAACGGGAAAGAGGAGGAGGAGTAGGAGGTGGTAGGGACTATTTTTATTTATTTTATTTAACCTTTATTTAACCAGGTAAGCCAGTTGAGAACAAGTTCTCATTTACAACTGCGACCTGGCCAAGATAAAGCAAAGCAGTGCGATAAAAACAACAACAACACAGTTACATATGGGATAAACAAAACGTACAGTCAATAACACAATAGAATATCTATATACAGTGTTTGCAAATGTAGTACGTTATGGAGGTAAGGCAATAAATCGGCCATAATGCTAAATAATTACCATTTATTATTAACACTGGAATGATATATGTGCAGAAGATGATGTGCAAATAGAGATACTGGGGTGCAAATGAGCAAAATAAAGAACAATATGAGGATGAGATAGTAGGGTGGGAGCAAGGTGTGTCTTCCTCGTCTCGCAGGTAGTTTGAGTCAACGGTAGAGTAGGGTTTCATCAATGAGTAATTGTATATTTGGGGAGGGGGGCGTAGGGGTTTGTGGTAAGAAATAATCTGTTACACCGGTTTGACCTGTTTCGGGGGCAAATTCATGACCAAAATAAGAAATGTCAACAGGACTGTTTTGGGTTGAACATGACGTTCACTTCATTCTAGGCTCCTGCAACAGGGAGAATACCTAAGATTGTATTCATTTTTTGCCAATTTTTTGTCATCTGTTTGCAGTTCAATGAAACCTATGCAAATATGCAGTAATGCATTTTCACTCATTGCTACCTTTTTTATATGGCTTTTACAAGTGTTAACTATTTACTCAGTCAAGAGTATGAGGCTTACTGTACCTTTGGACAAGCCAGTGTTTCCCTACCACTGTACAGACACAGTATACCTCACCACTCACCTAGCTGTTGCCCCCCTGCCTAAAGAATTTGGCATCTATCTATTGGTTTCTATCCAGGAAAAAAGACTGGGACAGACAGGCTACTACTGAAGGACAGACATTCCACTGGCACTGCCCAGTCCTTCATTCCCACCTGCAGCTGTGCTAGCCAAACAACACCCCTTTGTTCTCAGCAGACTTCTGCCGTTTGGACATGATAATCTTCCACCTGAAACCACTCCCCAGTCTCCAAGGAAAACAAGTACCTGTCCCAAAATGTACAGGTACCTGCCAAAATAAAGGAAACACTTAAGTAAATGAGTGATGCAAAGTATATTGAAAGCAGGTGTTGTTCCTGAGTTAATTAGGCAAATAAAAACCCATAATGCATAGGGTCATGTATAAAAATGCCCAGTATTTTGGTTACCATGACTAGAAGAAGAGATCTGTGACCTTTGAAAGAAGAGTCTCAAAGGAGCATAGTGGGTTTAGGCTGTGTGTCTCAGTCACCAGATCTCAACCGGATTGAACACTTATGGGAGATTCTGGAGCGGTGCCTGAGACAGCGTCTTACACCACCATCAACAAAACTATGAGAAATTCCATCATTTGGTGAACAATGGTGTCGCATCCCTCCAATAGAGTTCCAGACACTATAATGAATCTATGCCAAGGTTCATTGAAGCTGTTATGGAAGCTTGTGGTGGCCCAACCCCTTATTAAGACATTGTTGGTGTTTCCATTATTTTGGCAGTTACATGTAGATCAGTCTTGATAAGGAAAGCTAAGGAAGCATTGAGATCGAATCGCTATGGCTAAGTTGTTTGTTTTCATTAGAGTAGGCCATGATAAGAGTGCTTACTGCTTAGCCAAGTGCTGAATGATGGAAATGCATAAAATGATGAAGGGACGGATATAGCATTTTTACAAAACAGTGACTGACTGACCAGTGACCAAAAGTTGGACTACATCCAAAAGTTGTATTGCCGCCACCAACTGGACGGTTTGAACCAGTGATCACATGATTCATTCTCTCAGCAACCTAAAGTCTAGTCTCACCTCCAACCTATTAACTTTAACTTTGAACTGGATAGTTTATCCAACCGCACAAGGTCAACAAAAGGCCCTCTGAGGGCCATGTTTTGCTTGAAAACCCTTCAACCCCTGCCTCGAGTAGGTTAGATGCACTTCCTCACTAAACGTGTCATGCCAGTGGCTCGTTAACCTACACACTGTACAGTCTCCTAGCTAGGCCTAATTCCTGTTTTACCTCTACCAATGTGGAGCAGTTTACCTCGCAGGAGAAATTGACTGTGGTTAGCTAATGAGACGGGAGAGGAAGTACAGTGGGGAAAAAAAGTATTTAGTCAGCCACCAATTGTGCAAGTTCTCCCACTTAAAAAGATGAGAGAGGCCTGTAAATTTCATCATAGGTACACGTCAACTATGACAGACAAATTGAGAGAGAAAAAATCCAGAAAATCACATTGTAGGATTTTTTATGAATTTATTTGCAAATTATGGTGGAAAATAAGTATTTGGTCACCTACAAACAAGCAAGATTTCTGGCTCTCACAGACCTGTAACTTCTTCTTTAAGAGGCTCCTCTGTCCTCCACTCGTTACCTGTATTAATGGCACCTGTTTGAACTTGTTATCAGTATAAAAGACACTTGTCCACAACCTCAAACAGTCACACTCCAAACTCCACTATGGCCAAGACCAAAGAGCTGTCAAAGGACACCAGAAACAAAATTGTAGACCTGCACCAGGCTGGGAAGACTGAATCTGCAATAGGTAAGCAGCTTGGTTTGAATAAATCAACTGTGGGAGCAATTATTAGGAAATGGAAGACATACAAGACCACTGATAATCTCCCTCGATCTGGGGCTCCACGCAAGATCTCACCCCGTGGGGTCAAAATGATCACAAGAACGGTGAGCAAAAATCCTAACAAAGCCTACCATCAGTAACACACTACGCCGCCAGGGACTCAAATCCTGCAGTGCCAGACGTGTCCCCCTGCTTAAGCCAGTA